CCCCCTCAGGGGGGCAGTCTAGAATTAGTGACATTGTTTCACAAAATGTGTGTCCCACTTAAGATGGTGATGGTAAGAATTTTTTCTCACAGAGAGCTGTTGGTGTTTGGAATTCTGACTTCCAGTGGAGGCTGGATCTTGGAATATGCTGGACTGTGTTGGACAGATTTTTAACTAACAAGGGTTATGCAGGACAGGAAGAAAAGTGGAGTTAAGGCCATGTCAGGTCAGGCATGATCTTATTGATTGCAGACACAGCCTCGAGGCGCCAAATGGCCTACCCCTGCTCCTGTCCCTTATGCTTTTTGGCTCTAATCAGATCCGGTTGCATTTGTCGTCACCACAACTGCATGGGACGCACTCACCACTCATGCAGCCGCAGAGCCTGTGCCGTCACTACCAGCTATGCAGCAGCGAGAAAGAAGAGAAACGAAAGTAAAGGAGTTTCCCAAATGTTTAACATTAATTCAAGTCCTGGGATTGTGAATTGCTCATTGCACCACTCCAAGCACTAATCCTCACTGCACCTGATGCCTCACGGCCTCCTTCTTGCTCAGTGTGAGTGGGAGGGAGGCAGTGAGGGGTCAGGCGCAGAGTGACCACTTTTGCACAGGGCATCGGCATGCCAAGTGAAGTGGCAAGTGGGAGATATTGGGGGCGGAGTGAAGTCAGGAGGAAAGGTGGACGTTGAGGACACAGACCTGAGCTGCAGTTAGAGTGAGGATTTCTTGGGCGTCAGTGACAAAAATGCAGTGAATGTGAGCCAAGTCAGCTGCAGCTTCTGATTCCAGGCGCACATTGGTGACAGCAACAGTGCCATCTTCCTCTGTCAGTGTGGGGCAGAAGATACTCCCTTCATGTAATTGGATTAATTACATTTTCAAGTTTATCAGTTTAGACTTTTGATTCATTTGCACATGCAAATTTATTAAATACTTCTTGGCAGTTTCAGTTTCATTAAACTAAATATATAAATTTACTCCTAATATTTCATGATTAGATATATATATCTTAGCCTTAATTTTCCAAGTTTCAGTCAATGGCAAAGTAAATTACCATCAGCAGGATTTTGCAAACCAACATGATGTGTTGTATGAGAAAGAATATCTTGACCAGTTAGTGGCGTTGTGTTGGTTGATTAGTATAACTGCAATTGCATCATTTTTCTAAGGACGTTAGCCACTCTTTCCTCAGATACCAGGTAGAAACATCACAGTCAACACTCACTTTACTCACTTAATACAAATTTGGAAAGAAGAATCAAATCAGTTGCCGTTCATAAGGTTAAACGTGAAGCTATTCTATTGCAATAGAACTGCTGTGAAGTAGCTTTCAGAAAACAGTGTTGTGAGATCCCTTGTAGAGGCAATTTAAATTTTACACTGCTGTGTTTTGTCAAACTGGGTTTAACAAGTTAACAGATACAGAGATCTATTAAACGTACGAAATTGCAAGCTGAGGGAAAGTGGTACCATTGTACAAGCTTTTGAAAGGTTTATCTTGTGCTTAAAAACAAATTGGAATTGACCAGGCCAAACCTTATCCCCTCCCAAATGTCACGTTGGAATTTGCAGCACACACAATAAATCTGGTGCCTGTGCTTATCAGTCTCACTCTTCAGCTACCAGTCTCAGGCATGTGATCTAGTATCGTTTAAACATTAGGTCCAGATTCGTGTTAAATTGCTAAAATATCTTAAAAGTACCAAAATACATTTTGGTTGAGATGTCTGAAAATTAAGCTTAATAATTAAAGACCAAAACAGTTGCACTGTTTACAGAGATAGTAGGAACTGCAGATGCTGGAAAATCTGAGATAACAAGGTGTAGAGCTGGATGAACACAGCAGACCAAGCAGCATCAGACGATCAGGAAGGCTGACGTTTCGGGCCTTGACCCTTCTTCAGAAATGGGGGAGGGGAAGGGGGTTCTGAAATAAATAGGGAGAGAGGGGAGGCGGATAGAAAATGGATAGACGAGAAGATAGGTGGAGAGGAGACAGACAGGTCAAAGAGGCGGGGATGGAGCCAGTAAAGGTGAGTGTAGGTGGGGAGTTAGGGAGGAGATAGGTCAGTCCAAGGAGGACAGACAGGTCAAGGGGGCGGGATGAGGTTAGTAGGTAGGATATGGGGGTGGGGCTTGAGGTGGGAGGAGGGGATAGGTGGGAGGAAGGACAAGTTAGGGAGGTGGGGACGAGCTGGGCTGGTTTTGGGATGCGGTAGGGGGAGGGGAGATTTTGAAGCTTGTGAAGTCCACATTGATACCATTGGGCTGCAGGGTTCCCAAGCAAAATATGAGGTGCTGTTCCTGCAACCTTCGGGTGGCATCGTTGTGGCACTGCAGGAGGCCCAGGATGGACATGTCGTCTGAGGAATGGGAGGGGGAGTTGAAATGACTCGCGACTGGGAGGTGCAGTCGTTTAGTGCGAACCGAGTGTAGGGGTTCCGCAAAGTGGTCCCCAAGCCTCCGCTTGGTTTCCCCGATGTAGAGGAGGCCACAACGGGAACAGCGAATACAGTATGCCACATTAGCAGATGTGCAGGTGAACATGTTTACAGTTTACAGGACAGCTTTCAGCAGGACACTCCCAGCATGATATATTTTGTTGATTTTGGATACGCTGTTAACTGCAGCTTGGAGTAGCTGAATACCCCATTGTTAATATTTGCACAAAGCTGGAAGATTTATACTGTAGATGCAGAATGATGCCAAGCCAAGAAGAAAATTGCTTTTGTTTCTATAGGTGTCAACTTTGTGGTTAAAGAAACTGTTCTCATCATATGGAAGGCTCCTGGAACCCCCAAACAATTTACTCAAGTGCGCATGAGGAAGCGTATAACTTTACATCATTTTACAGACCCATCCTGGATTTAGCTTATTGAAGAACGTTCTGTTAATTCCGAAAAGAGGTGTTTCTTTCTTTCATGTGATATAGGTATCAATGGCAAGGCCAGCAATAATTGGCCATCTCTAAAGTTTGCTATGCCATTTCAGAGGGCAGTTAAGAGTCAGCCAAATTGGTGTTTGCCTGAAGTCACATGTAGACCAGACCAGGCGAAGATTTCCTTCCTTAAAGGATATTCATGAACCAGATGAGTTTTTACAACAATTGATGATGGTTGTCATGGTCACGATCACTGAGGCTAGCTTTACATCCATCAGCTGCAATGGTGAGATTTAAACCCCTATCTCCAAAGCATTAGGAGCTGTCCCTTCTGGGTTGCCAGTCCAGTGTTATCGTGAAATTGTCACAGTTTGCAGTGCATCGTAAAGCTATGAAAAGTTAGGCTGATATTTAATTCTTTCAATTGTAGACTTTGCCCTGTGGAATAATGAAGCATCACACTCTCCATTAGCAGCACTCTGTGACATTGGAGTGCAAATAACTGTAGCAACAAATCACTTCCTCCAAAATGGGAAGTTGTTCATTTTGGAAGGGAGAGCAAAAGAACACTATTATTGAAATGAAGAAAAGCTGCAGAAAGCTTTAACACTAAGGGATTGGAGGAGGACTTGTGCATGAAACACAGAAAGCTAACAGGAGCAGCAGGTAATCAGAAATGTTATTGGAATGTCGGCTCTTATCTCAAGGGGAGTTGGAGTATAAGAGTAGTGAAGTCTTACTGCAACTGGACAAGGTGGTGGTGAGACCATGTCTCGGGTACTGTGAGCAGTATTTGTCCTCTTATTTAAAGAGAGATATCATGTCATTGAAAGCAGTTCAGAGAAAATTCATTAGGCACAGAGGATTGCTTATGAGCAAAGATTAAACACGTTGGGATTCTACACACAGGAGTTTAGAAGAATGAGAGGTGATCTCATTGAAACATATAACATTCTTAAGGGCCTTGTCAGGGTCAATGCTAAGACGATGTTTATCCTCATGGGAGAGTTGAGGACCAGAGGGCAAAGTCTCAGAATACAGGGACGTCAATTTAAGACAGACATGAAGAGGTATCTCTTCTCTCAGAGGCTTGTGAATCTGTGGAACTCCTTACATAGAGAGCTGTGGGGGCAGAGTCCTTGTGTATGTTTAACGTGAGATAAATAAATTCTTGAGCAGCAGGGGAATCAAGGATTATGGGGAAATGGAAGGGAAATGGATGTGAGCAATTTGTATTAGCCATGATCCTATTAGCAGCAGAGCAGGCTCAAGGGGCCAAATCACCTACTCCTACTCCTAATTTTTATGGTCTTTCAATAAATTTCAGGTATAAGAAATCGCATTCTGAAGTGGAGTTACATGGCCAAACATGACAGTCATTGTGCACGTGGCAAAGAGCCATGGAAAACAATGAGAGAAATGGACAATTAAATCTGATTTTGGTAGAAAGGAAACTCTGAATTCCTCTGGTAAAGGAAGGAACGGCAATTGGACGGAGGGAAATACTGAGTACCATAGAATTGTGAAAATTAACAGATAGGCTATGGGCTCTGTTATGAGTATCAGAACAGGAGTGTTTCACTTATTTGTTACATGGAAGTTACACAGTTAGGATACCTCAGTTTAATGCATTGGTATATATTAGAATAATTTGGGAAATGTAATAAGGATAAAATATTAACAATCTTGTGCAATGTTACTATTTTATTAAATACGTGCCCAACAAATAATTTAAAATCTGCCTTCCAGGTAACATACGGGATGACTGCTTCACAGGCAAGTTTAAAAGTTACACAACATGCCAAATGACAACATATTGTCAAGAAACAACCTTTTTGATGACTTTAAGACTTCGTTTATGCCAGGTTTACAAAAAAATTGAACTGAAGGTCTCCCAGTGACCTGTAACTCACATTGTACAGAAATGGAAACCTACACATGCTACAAAAATGGTTATGTTGCTTCTGCAAATTCAGAATTATGTAATGAGATTGCTGTTGTTTTTTTCTAAAATGAAAATTAGACCTTGAAAGCAAAATTACATTATAGTCCATCTATGTAATAACTTCTGCAGTAGGCGTTCAACATAATGTAGCTCTTGTCCTGCTTCTTTACAGGAAGATGCTGAAGATGTGCGGTGACACAGAAGACAGGCTAGCCCAGGAACTCATCCTCTTTGAGCTACAGATAGAACGAGATGTGATAGAGCCACTTTTTGTGTTAGCTGAGGTAAGAATTGTATCAAGATTTCCCTGGATAGCCAGGAGCTCTTCCTATATAATAGAAACAAAAAAATCTGAAATAAAAAGAAAAATTAAAGAAGATAACAGGTCAAATCACATTCTCTAGACCAAAGACAGATTGGGATAGAATTTATTTAGGCTATTTTCCAGTTATCTGGGACCACGTCTGTGGCTAAAGAGGATACAAAGATCTCTTTGAAGGCTCCAGCAATCTCCTCCCTGGCCTCCCTCAGTATCCTGGGATAGACCTCATCAGGCCCTGAGAACTTATCTATCTTAATGTTTTCAAGACATCCAACACCATCTCCTTTTTAATATTGACATACCCTAAAATATCAACATACCCCTCCCTAATCTTACTATCATGCGGATCCTTCTCCTTGGTGAATGTCAATGCAAAGTTCTCATGAAGGATCTCCCACTTCCTCTGGCACCATGCATAAAGTCCCTCCTTTGTCCTTGAGTGGATCTACCCTTTCTGTAGCTACCCTCTTACTCCTAATGTATCTATTCAATGCCTTGGATTCTCCTTGAATCTATTTGCCAAGGACATATCACAGCCCCTTTTAGCCCTCATAATTCTTTGTTTAAGTTTTTTTCCTGCCTTTGTTATAGTCTTGTAAGGTCTTGTCTGATTTCAGTTTCCTAAACCTCACATATGCTTCCTTTTTCTTTTTGATTAAACTTTCAATATCTTTTATCATCCAAGGTTTCCCAAATCTTGCCACTTTTATTTTTCATCCTCACTGGAACAGGCTGGTTCTGAACTCTGATCACCTGGCCTTTAAAGGCTCCCACATGTCTAATGTGGATTTACCCTCAAATAGCTGCCCTCAATCTAATTTCACCGGTTCCTGAGGAAGCTGTGTTCAATGTGCCACTCCTTGGCTTCCTATCACCTTTCCACTCCACTGGTAGGTACTAGAAAGCTGACCAGGTGATGCTTAAAAATAGTCCTTGCTTCTTACTCAGAAGAAACACATATTTAGTTCAGAGATTTTTCTGAAGAAGGGTCTAGGCCCGAAACGTCAGCTTTCCTGTTCCTCTGATGCTGCTTGGCCTGCTGTGTTCATCCAGCTCTACACCTTGTTATCACATATTTAGTTCTGTCCTTTGCCTTTCCCAAATGGTTTCCTTTCAGACTCTGTGTCCATTTTTATCTAATTCTGTTGTGATTGCTTTCTGTCATGCTGCTCTTGTGCACATGGACATGTTGCTGTCGAGGATTTTATCACAATCTAATACCTGTGGTCAGAACTACTTTTAGTTCTGTTTGTTTCCAGTACCTATTTTATACGCTTGCATTTTGAAATTTCAATTGGCTACAGAAAGGTACTTTGTTATTGCAGCTGGTGATGCTGGGTTGTTCAGGGCCTGTCCCTAGATGACCAATTCTCTGCATTTCCAAAGAAAATTAAAAGCATTTTATGGAAGTTTAGTTGAGATCATAAAATCCAAGAAGAGAATCACCCAGAGAAAGTCGACAGAGCCGTAGCTGAGAGTCTCCAATCACAAGAAGGGAACTACAACATCTTCTGATGTGTAATCGATGTGATCATGTTCCATCAACAACTTTCCTGTACACAACATTCCCCACAGGAAAGAGGTTATAGTCAGGTTGTCCTGGGCACCACACATTAGGAAAGGTGTGCAGGCTTTAGAAGAGTGCTTCCCAAACTATGGGTCACAAATCACTTTTGCAGAGCCCTAGAAACATAGATGGGGTTCCAAGCTTCCCTTGCCCCATGACTGTGCCCTGCAATGAGATACTGGTGGTGACCAGCCCTGCTTTCCCCAGCTCCTGTCTCACTTGCTCCTTGAGCTGTTGCTGAGGAGAGGACCAGACTTGTGGCTGGCTGGAGAGGACTCTTAAATAGCTTGTGTAGGCTGAACTCCCCAAATAAAGAAACTACCGGTCCAGCATTTCCAGCAAGCGAGTTGACAGCTGAGGACCTTCTCCTGGTGGCAGGCTAAGGTTAATGGCTGCCATCAATATACAGGATGATGTGCAGTAGGGTCAATGCAGTCATCCTGGGTCAGAAAACAAGAGGAAAGGATCTTCACTGAGTTTCAATCACTGTAGAATTCTGACAGCTTGATATCAACCTGCAAAAGTAATTTAAATTATATCATTTTGACAAAATACTTTCAAAACACAGATTTGCATTTTATTATTGGTGTTCTAAAATGTAATAATTAATTTTTTTTTGTATTTTTTGGAGTCTGACGTCTGTTCATTTTCTAGTGTTGTAATGGGGCCACATTGGAAAATAGTGTGGGAAACACTGCTTTTGAGAGGATGCAGAGCAGATTCTCAACAATGGTGCGAGTTCTGAGGGATTTCACTTACTTGGATACATTGGAGAAGCTACATACACACGTATGAAATAGCAACAGAAGTGGACCATACAGCCTCTTGAGCCTGCTCTACCGTTCAATAAGATCACGGCTGATCTGTTTATGTTTCATATTCCACCTTTCCATCCATCCCCAATAACTTTCATGCCCTTGCCAAACATGAATGTATTCACCTCTGTCTTAAAAATAATCTGTAACCCCTGCCGTTCTGAAGCAGAGAGAAGTGAAACAACCCCCAGAAGAAAAAACTTCATTCCTAAAACAGTGACCCTAATTATAAAACAATGACCCTATGTGCTGGAGTCACCCACAAAAGGAAATATCCTTTCCATATCCAATTTGTTAAGACCATTTAGGATCTTATACACTTCCATAATGTCACCATTCATTCTTCTAAACTCCAATGGAAACATGCCCAGTCTGTTCAACTTACCATCATAAGACAATTTAAATTTTCCAGCTATCAATCTAATAAACCTCCTGTGAACCACCTCCAATGCCTTTACATCCTTCCTTAAATAAGGAGACCAAAGTTGCACACAATTCGAGATGCAGTCTCACCACTATCCTGTAAAACTGAAATAAAACCTGCTTTGAAGGTCTGTTCTTCTCATAATAAAGGATAGCATCCCATTAGCCTGCTTGGTTACATGTTGTACCGGCATACTAACCTTTTGTGACTCTTACAGCAGAACACCTAAATTCGTCTGCATCTTGGATTTTCAGTTATTCTCCAATTAAGTGATCCTGTGCTTTTTCATTATTCTTGCTAAAGTGAACAACTTTGCATTTTCCCACATTGTATTCCATCTGCCAGAACTTAGTTCACTGACTCAACCAATCTGGGACTGGTCTACTTTAGAAAAGGAAATTTTGAGATGAGATTTGAGAGAGGTGTCCAAAATCACAAGGCTTCTAGATGCAAGTTTCTTATCTGAATGCTTTTACTGTTAGGTACCCTGAGCTCTACAGAGCTGATGAGAATCTTAATTTGAACAATGAGAAATATGCTTTCAAAAGTGAGTTTTCATTTTCAATCAAATAAAGAGGATGAATTGCATTGTTTCTCTCTCTTAGGTGGACATTCCTAATATCCAAAAACAGAGAAAACATTTAGCAAAACTTGTATTGGACATGGATTCAGCTCGAACACGGTAATCAGAACTTTTACCTTATCTTTCGTTTGGCAGTTGTATTCATGAAAGCTAAACTACTTTACTTTCTTTTTCCCTGTGGTATTATTCACTGAAGCCTTAAAACATTCTAACCTGAAGTATTTAGCTAGAAAGTTGCCTGGCTTCCACATAATATGATGGGAATCTTAAATTGAATGATAAGATATATAAAATGGTAATGATAGCATGGTAGTAATGTTACAGAGGCCTGCACTATAAATCAGAGTTGAGAGTTCACAATTGCACCAATGGCAGTTCTTCAAGTGAAATGAGGTAATCAAATAAATTAGGAATAAGAAGCTAATAGTGACCAATGCAATGGGTTGTTATAAAAACCAAACTGGTTCATTAATGTCTTTCAGGGAAGGAAATTTACTCTGTTTGCTTATTCTGAGCAATAGTTGCAAACCCACATTAATGTCATTGCCCTTTGAAGTAATCTAGCAACCGAAGAAGCCAACTCACTTTTATATTCTCAAAAGCATTTAGCAGTAGTCCACAAATGTTGGCCTTGTCAGTGACACACAAATCTTGTGAATAAATCGAAGTCTCCCTCCCTCCATTCCCATTCTAAAAATCTTTGTGTTTCCCCTTCTTTGTCTGTTTGTTTGTATTGAACCCTGCTATATTGCTCTGTTCCTTCCAAATTGCTTCCTATAGACATTCCCTCATGAGTAAACTGTATGGATTAGGAAGGCCTAAGTCTGTCATTCGCAAGGAGTGAAACCAGTTTGTATGTTAGAAGGGATTCTGCTGCCAGAGAAAAGTGGGCCTATGATTTCTGATTCTCGAAATTCCTTCAGACTAGAGCACGGCCTGTTTCTGGCTGGAATTCAGGTGTTTGAAAGGATGGAAACCGCATCAAATTATTATAGCCAGAGGAATCTTCTGAGCAAGTTATAATCACCTGAAAGGATTGACAAGGAATTTTCCAAATGTCCTTTTCCTGCAGATGGCTTGAGTTTGGTTTGGTTTGCCACCTCAGAGTTTATGTGATGCATCTGGAGGTGGATAGGCAAAGGATCTTATTCCTTTCAATCATTGTCATATGTTCTTACATTTTTCCTGTGTATCTGATTGTCTCTGACTATTGTTCAGACTCTCCCTCTGCCTATAAGGTCTTTTCCATACTTCTCATCCCATCAATAATTTTCCTCATGCTTCTTAAACATTTCTCTTTCTATTTTGCTCATTTCTTCATGTCTTTTCTTGCTCCTCTTTTCGATTCTTGTTTCTCACTTATTGTCCCTTTCTTTCTGTACATGGGAGATGGCACCTTGAACATAAAACTCACTATCTCCCATGGATACCTCAGGATATCTTTTAAAAGATCACATCAAGGTGTTAATGTCATTTTGCTGTGTTTACCTGAACAAGGCCATTGCATCTCAGTGTGGAGCCCCATACATAGAATCCCTACAGTGTGGAAACAAGCCCTTTGGCCCAACAAGTCCACACCGACACTCAGAGCATCCCATACAGACCTAACCCTCTTTAACCCCCCTAATCTAGGCATCCCTGAACACTACGGGCAATTTAGCATGGCCAATCCACCTAACCTGCACATCTTTGGACTGTGGGAGGAAACTGGAGTACCCGGAGGGAACCCACGCAGACACGGGCAGAATGTGCAAACTCCACACAGAAACATGGATTCCTTTCCTGGAGGGCGTTGAATGGGAGAGTGACATGACAACAGGAAGGTGGGAGATGAAAGAAGCAGATGAGCGGTGAGATCCTTTGTCCTGCTGCAGGCCACAACGTAGTGATTGTAAGAAGCTAAAAACAGTGAGTGTGCAGGATGCAAATGAGGATAGTAGCCTGGGTTACCTGAGGCTGGGACAGGGGGTCAGACTGGCAGGAAGTGTGCAGCTATAATGAGCAAGCAGGCTAACACTGGGGTGGATAGGGCCAGGTCATAATAGTGAAGCATGGGACTTGAAGATGGTAATGAAATACAATCGCTTCTAATGCATGAGAGGTGGTGATGTTGTGGTAATGGCACACAACTCATAATCTAGAGGACTAAGCTAATGTTCTAGAGTCATGGGTTTAAATCTGTCTGTGGTAATAATTGGAGTTTAAATTCAGTTAATAAATCTGATACATTGAGCTACTCTTGGCAATTGTGACCATTGTTGCATGGTGTAAAACCCCATCTGGTTCATTAATGGCCTTTAAGGGAAGAAAATCCGCCGTCCATACTTGGTCTGGCCTACACGTGACTCCAAACCCACAGCAATGTTGTTGGTTCTTATCCGCCCTCTGAAATGGAGCAGCAAGGGAAATTGGAGATGAGCAACAAAAGCTGGCCTTGTCAGCAATGCCCACCTCAATTCCATGAAAGGGTAAAATCACCTAAGGTTGGAGAAAAGGACAATATTGCTACTGTTGCAAAGATTGCACCTGCAATTTTCTTTAGAAACCGCAGCTACCAGCAAGTCAGTCATGGAGGAAAGACAACAGGCTGAATCTTATGTTTGTTTTGGCTACCAATGGGTGTTACTAAAATGCGTCATTAACTACCTACCCCGCCACATTGCGTCCCTTACGTCCAATTCCCGCCCCTTCTTGCCACATTGCCATTCCCAGAACAAGTTGCCACTTGGCGGATATCCCACAATTCACCAGCATCCCTTGCATCTTTAAAACCCTGTTGCATACCCAGACAAGCTCTCAGACTGGAGCTGCCCTTCATGGTTCTTTACATATACCTCAGAAATGATAGGCAGGGGGAAATCTGTGCACAGAGACTTGGGCGTCCTGCTGGATAGGGCGGTGCACAGGTGGGACATCCACTAGTCCCAGGACCCCCATTGACACCAGATCATGCCAGCCTGTTCCAAGGTTCCAACTGGGTTAAAGTAATGTCAGCCATTTGGAGAAATGGACAGTACTGTAGGAAGAAGTTCAATGACCATCTCCAGTCTGCTGTTGTAAGTGCCACCATCTTCCCTCCAATACCTAACACTTACTCTCCCTCTGTTACTGCACCCACCTTGCAACAAGCTCTATCGCTCTCAGTATTCCAGGCAACATCTTCCCTCATTTGCTCTTACCCAACCTTACCCACTTACCATCCATGCCCTCTGCACTGCCTTCTCACTTGTTCAGGACCCCTCCTCACCTACACCCACTTTCATCTCCCACAGTGGCAAGGCAAATAGGAAATACAAGCCTCGTATCTCTGGCTGAAGGGGCAAAGCACAAAAATGCAATTTAAGTCAAGAATATTGTGAGTATCCAGCTAAGCTCAGAATGAGTGAGCGCTATGACAGCAAATAAAGAGCCCAGAGATCAGTCCATGAGCTGGATGCATGTCCCTGAGTGCACAGTGTCCTTGCTGCAACATGCCTGACATTGAAGTACAGAGGCATCGTATAAGTGGATTGGAGATGTGCCATGAGGGTTCTTAGAAGGTGGCAGGTATTGGATGCCAATGTTTGTGGGTGTGGGGTGCATGTGGACAGTGCTCATGGAGCATGCCCTGAGATGGTGGAGCCCAGTATCCACATGGAGATCCTTTGGAACAAGTGGAGAGCTGAATTTGCCAGGTTCTTGCTCTGTTGTCCGTGCCAAGAATTCTCAACATCTAGTTTGTTGTTAAGAAATAAAGCTGAATATTAATGAGGCAAGTCGGTCCATCAGTGAGGTTTTAAAAAGCAATAGACTCTCTTAATTGGCAACTTGTTTCATTGGAAACTCTCTAAACTAGTTGTGAAAAGCGTAAAAGATGTTGAGATTGGTCTCAATGGACTTCTTACATGATTCTGCCACAAATCTCAGCACAGCTCACATCGCTCAGACTACAATTAGCTTCCACCTATTATTTTCGAAAAGGGTATTGTCTTTAGTGGCACAGTCATTGGATCTTCAATCTATATTTATGTTGTAGCCATAACTTTTCATGAGTCTACAGTTTTTGTGAAAATGGCATCTGAACACAACAATGACAAAGCCCAGGGGTGACAGACCGCTGTTACCAGACAGTAAGGCAAGGAGTACGATCTTCAGCTGATAACTGGGGAATTGAGGCAGGAGGATGGGTCTGTAGGCTAAGTGGTCCATGGGGAATGAATCTTGACATACATAACTGAGATCTATTGGCAGCAAATGAGATTGATAGTGATTTATTTACTCAAACTGACTTGATGGAAATACACACATCAAAATATTAAGAATGTCTGTTGCTACAACTGTATTGAATTATTGGATAAGCATCATGTTCAGTAGGTCCCCAACGTGTTTTCTGATTAATACTTGTTTGTCTTTTTAATACTGAATGCAGGGAAGGGATAACTACATTATGTCTATCAGAAGACAGGAAAAGAAACTGGGATGTTTTGTGATGGGGAATATCAAAAAATCATACAGTGTACGTTGCTAGAAATATAGAAAGATTAAAAGAAGCACCCTCAATACTGATATAATAATTGAGATTTTTGTCAGCTGTCACAGTTATAACATCTGGATGTCCACAGGAAGTTATAAGGAATTTTCCATAATAATCTAAATGTTCTGAAACATTTCAGTATTTCTCCAGCATAAAGACAACGTTGTGCCTTTTTCTTCCTCGAGAGAAGATGCACACAACTGCTTCAAGCCAGCTTTATATTTGATCTTCTCTCCCCATGTATTTTCTCAATTCATTTGCAGTATTGCTGAGATACAGTTGCCAAAGGGCTCCTGCTTCTGTATAACTGCCCCAGTGCATAAGTCCCACACACATGAGCTTTCTATGTACTGCAGGAACTTGGTGCAGATTTGTGCCAAAAGTATAGACCCAGCTGACACTGAGTCACAAGTGATATCAGGGAAAGTGAGCTTTCTGGCATTTGAAATCAATTACTTTGCATTTGTTTTTGCAGCATTCTAAGCCAAGACCAGTACCATGGATATTAGTCAGGGTGCACTCAAAATGTTCAGACCTCCATCTCCTCCACCCGTGACAGAATGACTAAGCATTTGGAATGGCTGTC